CTCGAGCGAATCGGAGAATTGGAGATCCGTCCAAGGCCTTTCGGGGCGAGGCCTTGGCGAGAGGGTCTCGACGAGAGGGCCTCGGCGGGACGTTTTAGGCCTGTTTCGCATGAGGCCTCGGCGCAAGGCCTCGGGCGAATCGGAGAATTCTGCCGAGACCTTGCAGTAGTCTTTTGGCTTTGGTTTTAGCAAGGCTTAAGCAATATTCTTGGATCTTGCTTAGGGTACTCCTTCTTGTGGTATCCGACAGGTTTCTTTTGCAGATTCCACTTAAGATGATGCTGATGGGCAAAATTGTTTGAGATTTTGAGTGCTCAAATCTTAAGACTTTACTCTCTCTGTTTCAAAACACAAGTTATTCCAGTTTCATCCGAAGTCAAATTTTCATACCTCAGAAAAAAAAATCTTGTTGAGCAGTGCTTACAAAAGATAATTTTGCTAAGCGAAAATGGTAAGGTAGTAAAACTTGGTGTTTTGTGATTGAGATGGAGACAATCAAACACTTCTCTTTTTTTTTACTGCCGTTTCGCTTGTTCCATATATGGCATGTAATTCTGGCTTTTTGTTGGATCTACCCAAACCTTGTAACATGTCAACATATTTGGCAATTAGTTAGGAGACTTTAGTAAAGAATTAAAACCGATAATCCTTTTAGGGGAGGCCGGCTGCTATGTCAAAGAACAGTAGCGAAGCTAGAGCAAACTAGAAGGGGGTGCACATACCTTGTAGGTGCATAGATATGTGTTTTAGGGGGTGCATATATAGTGAAATTTTAACCAATTCTATTGCTTTTATAATTTTTTGGGGTGCCTTTGCACCCCCTCCTCATAGTGTAGCTTCGCCCAAAGAAGGTATTCTTCTTTTTTTGCAGGTTTTATTATTCTGCTACCTGATGCTTACTTGGTTTATTCTCGAGAAATCGTACCCATAGGAGTTGATTGTATCAGCGGCGCAAATAGTTGGTGAGGGTGGTCAATAGCTTTTCTCCTAGACACATGGGTCGCAATCTAATCAACTGATCAATACTCACTAGATTGTGTGTTTTTATTATACACCCACGTCAAAAACTACTTTTTTTTAATTAAGCCTTTACATCACTCGATGTATTTGCCCTTGGAATCTTGATAGCTTCACGATGACATAAAATCCCAAAAATAAAAGAAATGCAATCTACCTAGTGCCATTCAGTCAAGCTTATTTTATATAATTTATCGAGCCATTCATGCATCCCATAATTGATAATTCACTGTTATGGCTGCTACATGCTTCTATAGCCGTGTCGTAACAAGCCATCATCGTATAATAACCTATAGTTATCTCAAGGTAACTAGATATCATCTTGGCGTGCATGCATGGCGGCCCGCAGCCCTCTGTTTAGGACAGGCGTGAAGAGACGTGGAGGCTATAAAAATAGTGGGCCCGCCGGGTGGCCCAGTTCGTTCGATCTTCGTCGCCTCGCGTGGCTATAAAATGGCAGCTGGCTCGTTTGCACAGACTCACAAGTCACACACACAGCAGTTCACGTACAGTCACAGACTCACAGATAGTCTTCTCAATTCCCATCCATCTCTCGCCGAGCTCGATCTCAGTCCAGCGCGCTATCGCCATGCGTCCACTGCGCTCCCCCGTGCCGGCCAAGGCGCTGCTTGCGCTTGCCGTGGCACTGGCACTAGCCGCCATGGCATTGGCCCGCCACTCCCACACCATCCTTCCGGCGCCGGTGGAGCGGGCGGACGAGGAGGTGCGGCGTATGTACGAGGCGTGGAAGTCGAAGCACGGCCGGCCGCGCGACAACTGCGACATGGCCGGCGAGGAGGACCGGCTGCGTCTGGAGGTGTTCCGCGACAACCTGCGGTACATCGACGCGCACAACGCGGAGGCGGACGTGGGGCTCCACACCTTCCGCCTCGGCCTCACCCCCTTCGCCGACCTCACCGTTGAGGAGTACCGCGGCCGCGCCCTCGGCTTCCGCGGCCGCCGCAGCAGCGTGAGCGCGGCCAGCAGGGTCGGGAGCGGCGGCAGCACCCGCTACCGTCGTCCCATCCCCCGCGGCGGCGACCTCCCTGACGCCATCGACTGGCGCCAGCTTGGCGCCGTCACCGACGTCAAAGACCAACAACAATGCGGTCCGTAGCCTACTGCATCGTTACCATGCGTGCATGCTGCTCTGGGCCTCTGGCTACGGCTAGCTCGCCGAACTAGGCGGCATGTTCTCCGGCGAGAATTTGCAGCTATTTATCTGATGACTTCTGGTCCGTTGCCGGCCGTGGAACATGCATATGTGTTGCAGGTGGGTGCTGGGCGTTCTCGGCGGTGGCGGCCATCGAGGGGATCAACGCGATCGTGACGGGCAACCTCGTGTCGCTGTCGGAGCAGGAGATCATCGACTGCGACACCCAGGACAGCGGCTGCAACGGCGGGCAGATGGAGAACGCCTTCCAGTTCGTCATCAACAACGGCGGCATCGACACCGAGGCCGACTACCCCTTCATCGCAACCGACGGCACCTGTGATGTCAACAAGGTACGGTCGGTACGGTACTGTCGTCATCATCAAAAGTGAAGCTGCTTGCTTCATCATTAGTACTAATACTGGAGAGATTGTATATTAATTGTTCGATGCAGGAGAACGATGAAAAGGTTGCCACCATAGATGGGTTCGTGGAGGTGTCGAGCAACAGCGAGACGGCGCTGCAGGAGGCGGTGGCGATCCAGCCCGTCAGCGTCGCCATCGACGCAAGCGGACGTGCGTTCCAACACTACAGCTCGGTAAGCATGCTCCCGGAATGGAACGGAACGGAACGGAAGGCGGCGGAGTAGTTGAGATGGAACCGGTTACCGGTGCATTCCAAGATCAGACGATGATCGTCAGATTGGAGGAGAAACTGAACTGTTGTCTTGTAACAATCTCAGGGCATCTTCAACGGGCCGTGCGGGACGAACCTGGACCATGGCGTCACGGTGGTGGGCTACGGCAGCGAGAACGGCAGGTACTACTGGATCGTGAAGAACTCGTGGAGCACTGACTGGGGCGAGGCCGGCTACATCCGCATGAGGCGCAACGTGCCATGGCCCACGGGCGCGTGTGGCATCGCCATGGACGCGTCGTACCCGGTGAAGGATACCTCCCACCCCGCCACGGCTAGGGCAGCCATGGATGTGCTCAAGATGGTTCTTGCTTAGCCGGCAGAGAAGGCAGCCGGTTCAACTGGAGTTGCTTCGATCATCACTTATATAAAATAAGAAAAAAAACTGAAGTTGCTTGTTTTTACTACTAGCGTTGCGCTGAGGTGTGATGCACGAGGATCTTGTTGAACTTGTATGGCGTGGTAAGTTAATAGTGTGCTATTACGTATCTTTCTTGAGTGCTAATGTAATGAAGTTACAAATTACAAAATAAATAAATAAATAAATAAATAAATAAATAATGATGAAGTTGTTTGTTTGTGCTCGTGGGCTATCTCGGCTTTTCATCGTCGCGGTCTTGTGGACACCGTGTCAATCGTGACCAGCCCAATAAGGAGCAAGGCCACATGGCCCAAGGAAAATGTCACCTCGGCGGGCATACAAGGGGAGCCGACTAGCCGAGCCAAGGAGTTGGAAAGGGTCACAGGTCTAGAGGCAGGAAGCCCCGTGCCGGCGCCTCTCCATCCGCGACGGCGGCGGCCACCTTGGCTGGAAATGATGCCTCATATAAGAATGCAATACACTGCTTAAGCATGCAATCCTATCCAGTTCTATGACATAGGATGAAAAGAAGACTGAAAAATCGCAACCCGCTTCGCTAACAGATAGTCAAAATGAGCATATCACTATATCAGAGTTCAGACTTGCTATCACCTTGGGTTCAGGGCTGCTTGATTCTGATGCAGGAAGTGCAGACAATTTCGTTTCTACAAATTGCAAATTGGCTACAGAAATTGGTGCACGTAAAGCAAGCAATTTTGTTTCTACAGATTGCAAATTGGCTACAGAAATTGGTGCGCGTAAAGCATCTGGGGCAGCAATTCTAAGATCAGCGTAACATTAATCCAGAATCAAGCAATTGATTCATACCTTGTCCAGAAAAACAAGAACTATCATTTCAAATAATCTGAGATGCTGAGTTGCTGACAATCGACGAGGGAAAATCGTGTAATACTCGGGTATAGTGATATTTGTTCTAAACTAGTCATGTTCAAAGTTTCTTTTCTTTCTCAATTCAGCCTCTAATCTAAATACAACTTAAAATTACTAACCAAGTAGGCACATATTTGCATATCAACAGAAGATTGCAGTGGCACTACATAATGTTCAAAGTTTGTTTTCTTTCTCAATTCAGCCTCTAATCTAAATACAACTTAAAATTACTAACCAAGTAGGCACATATTTGCATATCAACAGAAGATTGCAGTGGCACTACATATGCGACCATTGCCAGCACAAATGACATCTTGAAAAGCAAACTGAAATGATAATTCATGTAGACACCTATACATTGACCTGAAACATACAGTGTATATATATCAATCAATCTAAATCCAGCCAGAGAACCCAGCATGACCGAGGTTTCAGTAGCAGAATTGCATAATATCCTATCCCCAGGCTTAAACCGAGCATTACAACACAAGCAGAATTACTATAGCAACATGCCAAGAAAAGATCAGATAGCCACGAGGATACATCCACTTCACAAGCATGAACGTAGCAAATAACAAGGATACATCCGGAGACCATGAACACACACAGCCTGATAGCCACAACTTCAGGGTTCACTTATTCTTCATTCCATAGTTCGATCAAACTGCTGCACAGCAGCAAGTGTTCACAAATAACCAGACAACATAGGACTCAACATAGGACTATGCATCAGACGGGCAAACAAGAGACAAGACTCAACCAGGACTCGGACCACAGGACACGAAGACAGACAGTCTCCCAAATTGGGAGACCACAAGGCACCAGCAAAGATGAGTCGCTGCTGGTCCGGGGGGATGCCCTCCTTGTCCTGAATCTTGGCCTTCACATTGTCAATGGTGTCCGAGGACTCTCCAGAGTGATGGTCTTGCCAGTGAGGGTCTTCACAAAGATTTGCATACCACCCCTGAGCCTGAGCACAAGGTGAAGGGTCGATTCCTTCTGGATGTTGTCGTCAGCAAGGGTGCGACCATCCTCGAGCTGTTTCCCGGCAAAGATGAGACGCTGCTGGTCTGGGGGGATGCCCTCCTTGTCCTTAATCTTGGCCTTGACATTGTCAATGGTGTCCGAGGACTCAACCTCAAGCGTGATGGTCTTGCCAGTCAGGGTCTTGACAAAGATCTGCATACCACCCCTGAGCCTGAGCACAAGGTGGAGTGTCGACTCCTTCTGGATGTTGTAGTCAGCAAGGGTATGGCCATCCTCAAGCTGCTTGCCAGCAAAGATGAGACGCTGCTGGTCCGGGGGGATGCCCTCCTTGTCCTGGATCTTGGCCTTCACGTTGTCGATCGTGTCAGAAGACTCAACCTCAAGCATGATGGTCTTGCCAGTGAGGGTCTTGACGAAGATCTGCATGCCTCCCCTGAAGCCTGGGCACCAGATGGAGGGTGGACTCCTGGATGTTGTACTCAGCAAGGGTGCGGCCATCCTCCAGCTGCTAGCCGGCAAAGATGAGCCTCTGCTGGTCCGGAGGAATGCCTTCCTTGTCCTGGATCTTAGCCTTGACATTGTCAATGGTGTCCGAGGACTCAACCTCGAGGGTGATGGTCTTGCCAGTGAGGGTCTTAACGAAGATCTGCATCTGCAAAAATTAAGGAACAGAAGTCGGGTAAGCATAAACAGTACTGCTAAGGACACAGAAAATTATTATTGGAGACCGACTAAATGTCAAGAGAAAAAGAATCAAGGAACATCCCATGAATATTAACAACTTCACAGCCTATATTGTAAGATAGACAACTAAATTTGAAGCAAATTATCCTAGCAAGTACCAGAAATATAATATTTAATAGCTTTGAAGTACCATAAAATCAAGTGTAAAAATCGAAACACATGATATACAGGGCTACGACAATTTAGCAAAAAGCGCTACATGAGTGACATAGAGTATCCAATTAAGCAATTGTGCAGCTGTGCAGCAGTATCAACATGCGCGATGACATAGAATCCGTAATGAAGCTATTTAATTTAATACTACCACAGCAATCAGCTATCATAATCAGGCATACAGATTGCTTGGTTGGAAGCCTCCCAGGCAACCAACCACCAGGCAGCAATCGTGTCCCTGTCCCCAGGCAACCAAAATCAGACGCTGGGGATTCTGCGTGTGCCAGACAAGGTTGTCTGGTTAGCAACCAAACAAGTTCAATAGCCACATCATACGTATGAGCATAAATAAGCCACTAATCTTGATGAAATTATATGAAGAACAACCAGCAATCAGGAAGTATCCTCTGAACAGCAGGATCTAGATGAATCGGATCAACAATCTAAACCAAATCACATAACCCAATCGTGATCCAACAATAAAACGCAGGTACGGCAGCAAGATGACACGCATGCCAACATCAGCCCAACCCTAATTGCGAGGGAGCCAACCTGTAGAACCATATCATATCTGCCCGTGCTCGAACTCTTTAACATGCAAAATCGCGAGCACATATCAACACCAATAACCTCATCACAGCCCGCAGATCTACACCTCTACCCACAGATCAACGTCAAAAGTCTCATCACAGCCCGCGGATCTACACCTCTCCCGCAAATCGACTACAGATTGCAGAGCGCGAGCAGTAATAGAAGCCTGAAAGCATCGCCTCACGACCTAGCCAGACCCTAATCAAACAGATCCACGACGAACACGGACAGGAAAAACAGGGAAATCATACGAGAGGATCAAGAACTGGCATGCCTTGAGAGGATCGGGAGAGACGAATTCGCTTGAGAATTTCTTCGAGAGGATTAGATGGATGATGAGGGGGCGACCCGCGGGGCTGCGGGGGTGGTGCCAATTTATACACGGGGAGGGAGAAAAAAAGGCAGATAGGCTGCCTCGCCAAGGAGATATGATGATGGTCATGCCGTTTGCTGCATGCGGTTTTTTTTTTTGACAATGATTTGCTGCATGCGGTTGGTGGCCGTTAAAGGGTAGACGGCGAGATAAACACCGTTATAGTGATGCCTAAACCTCCATCAATCAATGCATGACCAGATATTTTGAAAGAGGGATCCACGTATAAGGGCTTCCCAACGCTCCAGCATGGAGTACGAGTATTGCCTCAAAGGCCATATCTGCATCGGTCCTCCATGTCAAGGTATAGGGCCTGTTTAGTTGCCAGAAATTTTTACGCAGTATCCATCATATCAAATCTTGCAGCACAGGCATAAATTACTAAATGTAGACGAAAAAAAAATTAATTGCACAGTTGAGTGAGAAATCGTGAGACGAAACTTTCGAACCTAATTAGTTCATAATTAGACACTAATTGTCAAATACAAACGAAAATGCTACAATAGCCAAAATCCAAATTTTTTTGAATCTAAACGCGCCCATACTGTGGCCCTGCAAAATATCAATGTCTCTTGCAGAAGATACGACGGCAGCAGTCCATAGCGTTTTGTGGGGTTGCGGGACGGTGTTATGCTCCTAGTTATTTGGACCGGACCGGACCGACGGTCGGACCGGTAAAAGACCGAACCAGAGATTATATCGGCTCGGTGTCATACAATCAGACCGCTAAAAATCGATTGAACCGGCCGGTTTTTTAAGGAACCGGTGAACCAGCCGGTTCTGTCTAGACCGTCCCGGTCTGGAGCTCTGGTCACGTAGCGCACGCTGTTGTCTCCTGCTGCCCGTGTGCATATCTGCCGCTGGGCCCAACCTGGCTGCTACTGCCGCCTGCGCATGTGAACGTTTGGAGGACGCGTGTGGGCTGTGAACGTTTGGAGAGTGACGTGTGCGTGTGTACATTGCCTGCCACGCTTCATGCACTTTTTGACTTTGGACGCCGCATTTTTAATTTCCAAAAAAATTGAGCTCTCTTAATTAAATAAATAATATATTCATCTTGATTATTTTGATGAGCTCTTCCCAATAGTACACTCTATTTCAACATTTGAGATTATTTTGATAACCGTGAGTATTTAAATTACTATTTAAGTCTTTTTGGAACCAATTCGTAAGTTCTATATATATTATCTTTTCATGCATATTTTTTATATATAATTGTAGCTAGATTAGCTGGAAAATGGTTAAATAATTGTGTTCTTTATTAGATTATTTGTATATATGATCAACTATATGTTGCTAATTATTGGTTATATTTCATTATATTACACCGGTTTGAAGTATTTGTAGGCGGTTCAATTCATCCGGTCTCAAACTATCGAACCGGCGGCTCAACCGGTTCTTAACGGTTGGACCAGTGAACCAGTGAACCGATGGTCTCACCGGTTCGATTTTCGGTCTGGTCCTAATAACTATGGTTCTGCTCTGCAAAGCGTCAGAAAAAACTAAAGAAAAAAGAGACATATTGACGGTCTGTTCGCCTGTTTGTATACGATCGTAAATTATAAGCTGGAATAGTATTTTTCTCTCACACCAAACCAGTCAGCAGTAAATAATCCATGATCATTTATGGCCTGCCGAACAGGCTGATAGTTTATGGGAGTTTGCATAGGGAACTTGAGAGTCCTGCACCCTTCATGCCTACATGTATTCCTACTTTTTTTTCAAGCTAATAAACTTGTTAGCCCACGTTGGACCTGGCCTGAGTGTTATATTCATTTCCAGAACAAGGATCTCGATCCCACTTATATAGAAAACATATATACTTCATCTCTTCTACCTCCTCCGTCCTTTAATATAAGAGATTCAAGTAATTTTTACTTCATTGTTCTAAATTATAAGACGTTTTGATTTTTCTAGATTCATAATTTTTACTATGCATCCATATACATGTTACATCTAAATACATGATTAAAGTTACGAATATAGAAATACTAAAATATCTTATAATTTGAAACGAATGAAGTAGAAAATAAGGAGCTTGACTAGAGATCACCTTACTCCTCACTAATTAAAATAGAGGAAGTATAGTTCAGTTGTTATTTTTCTTATTTAGTGCCGGTTGTCTTAGCCGATGCTAAGCCTAAAAGGAATCTCAATATTTTCTAAAAAAAAGACAGAAAAGAGGGTTGATGATCTAGAATACCCTATATTTTGATACAAATTTTGTACTCTAAAATCTTTGTACAATACGACCAAGGAAGTAAAATCCGAGGAATCCAAACTTATCCTAAATCAAACTATATACAAAAGTTTGATCAAATTTTCTGGCGGAGTGCGTTATGTACGTAACTTGGCTTTTAATCAAGTAAGTAATCTTGTCGAATCAACCTTTCAAATGGGCCCATATACAAAAGGGCCCGATCAAATTTTCTGCGGCCCATGTTATGTAAACGTCAACTCGGCCCATGTTATCCATGATCAGATGACCTGTCTGTTCGATTTGCAATTCTGGGTTGACCGTTTGAGATCTCTCTTGAGTCTTGACTCGCATCGCAGTCTGTCTTCTCTTTAGTTTTATCTGCTCTAGGGTGAATGGCTGATATTGATGGAACGATGATTATACACTAGCACTCTAGCGGTACATCAAGTTGCCTCATATAAGAATTCAAAAAATGCGCTGCAAAAGCATGCAAACCTATCCAGTTCAATGCCACAAGGGTGAAAAGAAAATTGAAGAAGTTTCTTAGCCCCCATTCGCAAACGGGTAATCAAAATGTTACATATCAGATCGACTACACACTCGCTGTCGACATGGGCAGTTCATTTTTTTTGTTTGTCAGCGAACTGACTTCCTTAGCCTGCTTGATTTTGATGCAGCCCTACGAGTGGCAACTGGCAAGTCGGGATAGCATTGATTTAGAATCTAGCAATTATTACCTTTTCAAGAATGGAGTATGTTTCTGTTATCTTTCTCGAGAAAACGTTCGATGTATTTTCGTTGCGTTTTTCCTTTTTTTTTCTTTGTGTATTTCCGTTACGAAAATAGAAAACTTAATGCAATATTCAGATGCAAATGGTACTCGATCTATTTAAGTAGTCATGTTTGAAGTTCTGTTCAGTTTAGTTAGTTTCCAATCTGAGTAGAATTACAACCAAGGAGACACAAATTGCAAATGAACAAACGAAGATTGCATCGACAAGTCACTCCACGGAAGGCCTTGATCTGAAATATATCAATCTAAATCCAGCGCATCCAGCATGACCAACATAAGCGTTTCAGTAGCAGCATTGCAAAACACAAGCGCACCAATAACAGATCAGTGCTTCCAACAAACATGAGCATACCAAACAAGGGCATATCCAGAAATCGTTAATTAACAAACATGTAGACACATGTTCAGGGTTCACTTATTTATTCAACACATTGTTCAACCAAGCTGCTGCACAGCAGCAAACGTTCTCACAAACACAACCAGGCAGAACAAAGGACTCTGCATCGGACAGGATAACAAGAGGACACGACTTAGCCAGGACACGGAGCAGACAATTTCATTGGGGTCGCATCACCAGACTTGTGAACCAGGGACGACATGGCCCAGCAGGACTTACTGGCCACCACGAAGGCGGAGCACCAGGTGGAGGGTGGACTCCTTCTGGATGTTGTAGTCAGCCAGGGTGCGGCCATCCTCCAGCTGCTTGCCAGCAAAGATCAGACGCTGCTGGTCTGGGGGGATGCCCTCCTTGTCCTGGATCTTCACCTTAACATTGTCAATTGTGTCAGAAGACTCCACCTCCAGGGTGATGGTCTTGCCGGTGAGGGTCTTGACAAAGATCTGCATACCACCACGCAGGCGGAGCACCAAGTGAAGGGTCGACTCCTTCTGGATGTTATAATCAGCAAGGGTACGACCATCCTCGAGCTGCTTGCCAGCAAAGATGAGACGCTGCTGGTCCGGGGGGATGCCCTCCTTGTCCTGAATCTTGGCCTTCACATTGTCAATCGTGTCTCCGACACTGTTAAACTGCTTGTCAGGACTTTCAACCTCAAGCGTGATAATCCACGTCGATTGCCAGTGATGGTCTTGCCAGTGAGGGTCTTGACGAAGATCTGCATACCACCCCTGAGCCTGAGCACAAGGTGGAGTGTTGATTCCTTCTGGATGTTGTAGTCGGCAAGGGTACGACCATCCTCAAGCTGCTTGCCAGCGAAGATGAGGCGCTGCTGGTCCGGGGGGATGCCCTCCTTGTCCTGGATCTTGGCCTTCACGTTGTCGATCGTGTCAGAAGACTCGACCTCAAGCGTGATGGTCTTGCCAGTGAGGGTCTTGACGAAGATCTGCATGCCTCCCCTGAGCCGTAGCACCAGATGGAGGGTGGACTCCTTCTGGATGTTGTAGTCCGCAAGGGTACGGCCGTCCTCAAGCTGCTTGCCAGCGAACATGAGCCTCTGCTGATCCGGAGGAATGCCTTTTTTGTCCTGGATCTTAGCCTTGACGTTGTCAATGGTGTCCGAGGACTCAACCTCGAGGGTGATGGTCTTGCCGGTGAGGGTCTTAACAAAGATCTGCATCTGCAAACGTCAAGAAAAATAAGGAGGGTTAGCCAACATAAAAACAGAACTACAGAATACACAGAAAATTGCTATCACGAAAACGGTCAAATCTGGACAGAAAAAATATCCCACGGATATTAGCTGCCCAGCATCATACACTCTAGGTTAGAGTTGACAACTAAATTTAAAGCTTATCATAATAATAAGCAGTAGCAGAATCATTAGCATTTGAATTTTAAACTACCAGATACAAATTTGGCAACACATGATATATATTGCCTTATCGGGTACAACAATTCAGCAAAACCTAATCTAAATGAGTAACATATTCAGGATGTCCAATAGAGGCTTGCGCCTCATTAAAAAAACATTTCAGAATGCAAATTAGCAATTGTGCAGCTGTGCAGCAATATCGACAAGTATCAATCTGTGATCATCATCAGGCATACGAGTAGAAGTCATATCACGCCTATAAACTAATCTAGATGAAATTATTAATAAATCTTGATGAGAATATTAACAAAGAGCAAACATGAATCAAGTATCCCTCTGAAGAGAGTTATCTAGACGAATCTAGCTAACCAACAATCTAAACCAATTCACATGACAGTAACGTGAATCCAACAATAAAGCGCAGGTCCAGCCGCTCCGGCAGCGGGATCACACGCGTGCCAACATCAACCCAACCTAGCACGGAGAGCAAACCAAACTGTACGACCATGTCATATCTGCTCGAACTCAATCAATATGTGAAATCACACGAGCACGGATCGACACCAAATAACCTATCACAGCCCGTAGATCTACACCTCTACCCGTAAACCGACTACAGATCACAGGGCGTGAGAGAGTTAAAGGCGTAGCCTGTCGCCTCACGACCGAACCAGACCCCTGCGACGAGCACGAATAGGGGAATCATAGGAGAGGGGTCGAGAACTCGCATACCTTGGGAGGATCGAGGGACGCTCCTTTGCTTCGCTCGCGGAGTCGCGGGGGGAGAACTCCTTCGAGGTGATTGGGGATTAGGGATTGGAATATATCAGGGAAACGACTGCCTGGGGAGGGTGCCGATTTATACACGGGAGGGACTTGTGAGGCGGCGGAGAAGGGCAGCCAGACGGGAGGGTCCCGTGAGGAGGTGGACCCCGCGGCAAAGGCGGTGGTGGTGTTCGTCCCCACCTCCCAATTTCTCCGGGAAAAAAAACCACAGCCTGCCAGTCTACCACGAAGACAGCGAGCCGCTTAGTTCACGTCCAAAATTTAGAGCTAAAAATAAGGAGCTATGATTTTAACTAGTATTTGATTGACTATTTAAATTTTCTATTTTTTTATAATTGGCTTGTCAAATCTTTGATAACTTTTATGATCAACTTTTGACTGCTAAATTTTTATTATGACAAATTTTAATCACGAACCAAGCAGACCTAGCATGACGATGGTCACGCTGTTTGCTGCCTGGGGGTTGGTGGCCGTTAAAGGGTAGACGGCGAGATGGCATGTCCCCGTCCATGCTCTGGTTTTGCAAAAGCGGTTTTCCTTCCTGCCCCGCCGCGGCGCTGCCTGGTTTCTTCTAGTTTTGCAAAACAAAGAATCTTGTTTTCCAGCACCGACAGTTTCTCGTTAGTCGTCTTCGCTTGCTTGCTTGCTTGCTTCAGAGAAGTTCCTCTGTTGGAAGGAAAGCACACAGTATTGGGCTGGTAGCTTCGTGACGTGGGTTCAGTCGGAACCGCTCCAAGTCCAAATCCGAGCTAGGATTTGGAGACGGCAATCCGCAAGGACAAAGATTCCTCCTCGTGCTGTGCGGGTTGGACTGCGTTCCTAGATTGGGCCGAAGGAAAGAGAGGCGATAGGGAGTACTTCCTTATCCTCTGCTAAAAAAAACTTACTTCCTTATCATTAATAAAAAAAGATCCAATTTATCTCTCTCAAGTCGTCTGAACCAGTTTTTGTACCCTCTATCGTCAACTGTTTTTTTTTTCACTTAGGTGACTTTATTAATGGTGGTTTTGCTGACGTGGCGTCACGCCAAAGAGTGTAAATCGAACTAATTGAAAGTTCTTGGAGGTAAAATCGAAAAGAAATCTTTTAAAAAACTTTCTGTCGGTGCGAAAAGTGACCAACACGTAAATTTTTGTAGTTTTGCCATACGTTATGATCGGATGTGGCCTAGCATTCAATGACACAGGATTTATACTGGTTCAGGCAACATGCTCAACGTCCAGTTTGAGTCGGTCGGTGACTTTATTTCTGAGCCCAAGTGCTCGAAGTTTGCTGTGGGGTTACAAGCGAGAAGGAGTAAGATAGGGGGTATCAGAGGTCCGGTCGGACTCCGGACCGAAGGGCCGAGAGTGACGGGAGTTCCGACATGTGCTAAGTGTTGCTCTGTTCGGCTTTAGAGTTCTAGAGCCGAGCAGAGAGAATCAGAATGATCCGTATGTTGTTCGTTGGAATCGTTGGTTGTTTGACTCGATCCGAATCGATCGTCCGACTCGTTGTCTATGTGAATCGATCGTTCTATTTGGAGAGAGCGCATCCCCTTTTATAGATGAAGGGGACGGCTTTATAAGAGAGAGTGTGAGAGAAAGAGCGTGTGTGTGCTACCTAGTCTTGTTGCCTACGTCGTCGGGTACAAGGTGGTTTGTCGGCGCCCACAACATTGTTGATGTCTGGATGCATGTAGTCGGTTCTACTCCATTCTTCTGGTATGGCCAATGTCGGCGCCTACCATACTGTAGGATAAATATCGGCGCCTACAACACTGTTCATGTTCTGACATGTCTGGAAGGTTATAAAGTACCCTTCCGACATGACCTGACAGTACTGTCCTGCAGGTGTGCAAGGTACGGTCCTTGGTATTGCGGTTGATTGGAGCGCCCCACCTTACTTGCTTTGTCCGTTTCCTGGGTCTTCACCGAGCGGGCGTCCCCGGTCGGTCTTTCCCCAGTCGGCTCTGACCTCCCGATCGGAGAAGAGTTGTAAGCAGAGGTTCGGTGTGTTCCTAGTCGGAGAGGTGGGTCGGAGTCGGAAGCGAGTGTCGTTCCTCCTTGGCCAGGCCTTCCGGTCGGAGAGGCAGGCCGGAGTCAAAAGCGAGCGTCGTTCCTCCTTGGCCAGGCCTTCCGGTCGGAGAGGTAGGCCGGAGTCGGAGGCGAGCGTCGGTCCTCCTTGGCCCTTCCGGTCGAAGAGGAGGGCCAGAGTTGGAAGTGACGGAAGCGAGCGTCGTTCCTCCTTGGCCAGGCCTTCCGGTCGAAGAGGTGGGCCAGAGTTGAAAGCGACGGAAGCGAGTGTCGTTCCTCCTTGGCCAGGCCTTCTGGTCGGAGAGGTGGGCCAAAGTCGGAAGCGATGTAAGCGAGAGTCGTTCCTACTTGGCTAGGCCTTCCAGTCGGAGAGGTGGCGGGCCGGAGTCAGAAGCGATGGAAGCGAGTGCCGTTCCTCCTTGTCCAGGCCTTCCAGTCGGAGAGGCGGGTCGGAGTCAGAAGTGACGAAAGCGAGCGCCGTTCCTCCTTGGCCAGGCCTTCCGGTCGGAGACTGGATCGCCCTTTTGGCCTATCGTTATGTTTTTGGGCCGGCCCAGAAGTTGCGCGTCGTTCGCAACGTCGTTTGCTGGGCCGAGCTTTTGCTGGGAAGCAGGTCCATGAGGGACCCCGGGTTTATGAACCCGACAGGAGCCCCCGAGCCCCCGGGTAATTCGGGTAGAATCATTTGGGGGATTTTTCATCTTGACGGCGGGTGCGCGTGAGCGCACCCGCGGGTGTAACCCCTGAGCCTATGGTCGATTTGGGTGTAACCCCTGAGCCCGTGGGATTTTTCGTTTTGCTAGGGGGGATTTTTGTTTTAACAGCGGGTGCGTGCGAGCGCACCCACGGGTGTAGCCCTCGAGCCTGCGTTCGACTGATGAGTCGGTTGGAGGCTGAGCATCTTGGTACTCTTTCCTGGGGCCACAGATTATTGTTTGAGGTGTTCGCCAGTGTTTGTGCCGTTCGTGACCTGCACGGTCGATTGATTTCCTGAGTCGGTGTCAGGCGACCTGAGCCTCTGAGCCCCGTTGGGCTTGGTAGTGGTTGGTCTAGTTTCGTGCGTTACCCCGTTCGTGTTTTCCACAACCGGAGGGGGCTGAGCTAACGTTGCTTGCCTCGATGGCTCAAGCAACACGCTCGGTGAGCTCGCTAACGGGCATGTTTGAGTGGAATCCGGGTCCATCGTTCGTGACGGGGTCGGCATAACCCTCATGTGGCATTCCACTACTCCTTAACCCATGTCCCGGCAGATGCCCGGGTCGTTCCAGAAATCGACTTAGGTGGCCCGCTGGCCTTCCCTTGATGGAGATTCTGTGGGCATGGCTCAAGGTTAGGATCGAACAAGAAGGTTGAGATGACCCTGTCTGCTTCAGAGCAGAGTGGGCGAGGGCCGCTGGGGCTCATCTGCATTTTCTCCCCTGGCTTTGTTTGACGCGAGGCGGCCTCGAGCCCTTCATGGGCCGGCCTTGGAACCCTGGTCTGTCGTTTGCTCTTGTCGAATCAGGCAACTTCCGCTTCGTGATGCAACACGGAGCGTTGGGATGCATTTAACTGCATATGCGATGCTTCGGATGTATGGGATGAATGAATGATTGTGCGAATGCATGTATGCAAATGGATGAATGAATGATCATGCATCATGAAAAATAAAGTAAGAGGGATTGGTAGAGTTACCTTGATGACCCGAGTGACAGGCTTGAGGAGTTTTTATCAGATATGTCCGAATGGGATCCATGCTCGTCGTTCATGACAGAGTTGGCATGGCCCACATAGGGTGCGCCTCTGCTCCTTACCTGTCTCTCGGCGTTCACCTGAGCCATCCGATCGACTCAGGAAGCCCGTTGGTCTCTCCTAGGTGGAGATCCCGTTGTTGGGCCCTTCCAAGTCTTGCCTGGGAAGGTGGAGGGCCGCCTGCGTGCGGTTGCGCCTTGTTTCTCATGCCCGATGTGCGGTAGTGGTGGGCTGTGCCTAGGCCACGTCCCATCTAACCAGGCACCATCTCGTCGGGCAGGGCGCATCCCATTAGTCAGGGTGCATCCCGTCGCATTCCCATCCGCATTGAATAGGGGAAGGGAGAGGGTTTTTGCCATAATCCTTCGCCTTTCTCCAAAAGCTACATCTTCTCCTTAAATAGGGCAAGGGAGAGGGCTTTCGTCCTGTTCCTTCATCTATTCTCCATCCGCTGCCTCTCCTCCTTGTTCTTTCTCGCCAAGTGCATTCGTGCCGCGGCAGTTTCTAAGTGAGAGAGGGTAGAGCGAGGGAGAGGAGAACTCATAGATCTGTTTCATGAATCTAGAGCACAATGTCGAGCTGGAGGCCATCTAATGTGGACGAGTCGGTGCTGGCCGCCTTCACCGAGAAAGGGCTGCTTCTGCCGAAGAAGGTGGCGCGCTAGAGGGCTCCTGCGGGGGAGGATTTCCCGTGACCTCGGGCCAGCAAGGTCGTCTCCTTCCTCGCCTTCCATGAGCGCAGGCTAGGATACCCCGCGCACTAGTTCCTGCGTGGGCTCCTCAATGAGTGGGGCCTAGAGCTGCAACACCTCAATCCGACTAGGGTGTTGCACGTCGCCGGCTTCATCACCGTGTGCGAGGCCTTCCTCGAGATGGAGCCGTAGTGGACTTCTTCCAACGGATCTTCACCGGGCGAGCTTTGTTGGAGGGGAAGCCAGCTAGGATCGCGCCGGTTGGTGGCTTTGCCCTACAGAAGAAGCCGAGCTCATTGGGCTCCTACCCCGCGTACACCCCCTACGACTCCAATCGGGGGTGGCATGGGGAGTGGTTCTACATCCGGAACCCGATGGAGGCGTCGTTCCCGCCGTTCATCGGATGGAGACCAGAGAGGCGAGAAAGCTGGTCGTGGGGCCCCTCCAACCGGTAGAACAAGCTAGAGATCGTCGAGGCAGAGC